TCCTCCTCCTTACTCCCCTTCCCTTCCTTCCCTTCCCTACCAGCACCATCTCTCCTCCCTCTCTCCCCCCATGATTGGTCACCGCTAGAGGACCACGACTAGATTTAGATCTAGTCACAACCAGCTTCTGGTCGTGATTAAAAGTGGAGGAAGGAGGGGAAGGAGGCTTCTGACGTGGGGAAAAGGAAGGAAGGTCAGGAGGGAGAAGGAGGAAGGAATGGAAGGAATGAAGAGGGAGAAGGAAGGGGGAAAAAAGGAGGGAGAGAGAGGAGAAAGGAGGGAGAGGATGGTGGCAGTAGTGGTAGTGGGTGGAAATGGTGGTGGTGTGTGGTGGAAAAAGAAGAAGTGGTAGAATTATCATTTATTTATTTTTTTAATTTGTGAGCTACTTTCGTATGAATTGATGTTTTTGGAGTTATTTTTGTTCATGTATTACTATAGCATTGTATCTTAAAAAAACATGTTTTTGAAAAATAGTCAAATCCAAATAGAGCCATTTTGGGCAGATAGTGTGCTTGCTCCAAAACTAATTTTTGTTGAAGTAAGTTTAAATTCTAAATTGTGAACTTTTAACGAGAGTTATTCTTTGGTAAATTGCTAAGTTGAACGTTAATTTCTTTTTGTTAAATTTTGTTAATAATTAATGATTTCAAGATTATATTTTTGAGTTCTTTTTTTTCATTTCTTTTATTAGTTTTTGCTACTGAATATTCGTACTGCACATAAACCTTGAAGCACTAGGAAAGATTTGCCATACCTAATGTGTTTTTGATGATTATAACTCTTACATAAGATGATAGTTTCTCTTTACACTTAAGGGTAATTAATTTACTCTTTAAAAAAAGAAGAACGGATAAGTCAATAGTTATTAATACTAATAGTTACACTTATCCCTCGTTTGGTACACGGAAATGGTCAGAATGGAAAGGTCTTTCCACCCAGAATGCTAGGAGAAAAAATTTAACATCCAAGTATATGGTATACAAGTCAGAATGCACAGTCAATTTAACAAAAATGATTTCTTTGTCAATATACATGTTGGTCATAGTGCCCTGACGCATGATTCCAAGTCAGCAGGAAGAAGGATAGATATGGTGTTTGCTAGTTCTCTTCCAGTTTGTGGTTGAAATGCTAAGTTTCTCGTGCTCCCTATCCAAAAAGGTTTCAACTGATAGTGATAACAGTGCCCCAGCACACACGAGCTTTTGCCCTGTAAGCCACTGGACTTGTTTGCAATGTTCTTATGATTTTCCCTTTTTCGTTTTTTGGCTTCATAAGCTTTCTTACACTTGATCCAAAAGGTAATATGCCTTCTTTGTCACATGGGTCAGAAAGGGAAAGATGGATGTAGGAAACAAACCCACAGGATAAAATAATATAAGCGAATCACACCCTTGCCCCCCGGGGCTAGACCATATGATCTTGGGCTTCTTCCGGAACTCCAAGGTCAAGTGGTCGAATTCCACTTAACTCCCGGTGCACTTGGGGTGGCGGTGTACTTGGGTGCAGGGGATTAGTCGGGCCGCCTTCGGGTCTTGACCCGGACACCCCTGTGTTGACAAAAAAAAAAAAAAAAATCACACACTCAAAGGAATAGCTTGGCAGCGGAATGTTTATAAACAAACGGAACAGCTAAAGAAAGAAACAAAAGGTGACAAAAGCTTCAGGAGGCAAACTTCTCAAATTGTTTCCAATTCTCGGCTACTTTACATATGACACACACATCAGACTAGTACTACACATATGTATATATAGGCACCAAGTCTCCATAATCAGAGACCACATTGGAATTGGAAATCAAGCATCCTAGTTAGACTTGAACTCAATTAGCTAGACGTAGCCCTGAACTATACTAATTCCAACCAACTCCAACTAACAAATAATAATCTTGATTTAATTCCTACAATGGATAATCCTAACAGTGTTTCACATAAGCAAAATGCTTCCTCAGAACTATATCATCAATCATACTTGTAGGTCATTCACAATTAGAATTCAATGTAAGTACGAATTTTCCAGAATGTATTAAATGCATTTAACGGAATAAACTTTTCCTCTCTGAACTCTCCAGTGATTTACAAAACTGTTTATCTTTCGACAAAACGGAACGAACGTAAATTCTCCTTCATAGGATAGGATATGCATTTGGGTGCAAACGAATCGAGTCGAATCGAGTGGAGTCTAGTTTTCGCCTAATCGAACCAAGACTCAACTTAGTTTTATGAAGTTTAAACTCAAGCTCGACCTCGACGAGCTCTCAACGGGCAGAGTTTGAGGTTGAGCTTAAAAAAAAAATAAAAAAATTGTTAGTTTATTTTAAAATAATAAATATAATAATAGTTTTTCTTAAAAAATAATAAAATATTAGAGATATATATATAATTTTATTCTTAAAATAAATAATCAATCCGATTCGCGAGCTAACGAGTTAAGTATCTTTGAGTTTGAACTCGATGTTGACTGAGTTCAAGTCACGTTGGGACTATAGAGGCTCGTGATCCGCTCAATTCGTTTGCGGTCCTAATTCCCCCCCCCCCCCTCCCACCTCCACCACCACCACCACCACCACCACCACCACCACCACTACATTGATTCCTAAAATTGTGACTATACTTTCTTATAATGAATCAACTCCAAAGAGCTCATTACCTATTTGGGAAATATCTGTAAAGTAACAACCAAAGAAATTTACCTCCTTGTCAGGACCAGGAAAACCACTACGATTAAAATTTTTACGGCAGCCTCTCTCATACAAGAAGGAAACAAGAGGACTCCTGGTGAAGGCGAGAACACCGACATTAGACATGACTCATAAATCAATGTTAAGTTTCAACAGGAATGTTCTCATCTTTTGACGAAGCAAGTGGCCACCAAACAGGGACAATGGCGAATGCATCAATAAGGGTTGTTAGTTTCCAAACCAACAAAAGACACTAAAGTGTAGACTGCAAGCATGTTCTAGAAAAGTTCAGCCAGCAACTCGAAGAGATGGTAAACATATGCATACCTAAATAGCTCAGTTCCAGCTGGTTTCAATTCATTGTAATCCTTTGATCCAGCAGTAACTGTAAGATCTTTTTTTTTTTTTTGTCAAACAGTAACTGTAAGATCAAGATAGATATTTTTGCTTGAATATGTCTTGTTACACGCCCAACATTTAAAACCAGATCTATAAATTGCAGGCCTGCAAATATTCAGCTTTTGAAAGTTATCATTGCGTAAAACGGATAATGTGTCCAAAGCATTAGTATAAAAGAGGCATTGGATCGTACACGTTAAATCCTAAAGGACCTTTTCTAACTAATGGATCATCGCAAATTGGGCAGGCAAACAAGTCAATTTCTCAACCCTCCTTTGATTCAATTTGTGCTCCCTAAAAATTCTGAACGCAACAAAATCATTCATAGTCTGCATTGCAGCAACAAAAAAATTCTGCTTCTTCCACGTTGAATCATCGTACAAATAAAAATAATAATTTTCCACATTTAAATAGTACAGTTGTTGAAACACGAGTGAGTGATTCATAAAGCAAAAACAAGACCGTGATTGAGTAGCATAATTTTCCAAGAATAAAGTTGGGTACTAGGAATGGGACCATGACTAAGTGTTGAATAAACTCAAGATCACTTTTTTTTTTGGTTTCCTATTTCAAAATAATTTGCGGACAAGATATCCTTGTGAAAGTTACCAATCGTCAAAATAACGGGCATCAAATTTCAATAGCTACTAAAGCTTCCAAGACACGGCAAATCAAACAACATATATGTAAATAATAATTCTAAGTATTTGTTAGGCAAGGAAGGACAAGAAATATTTACTGGTTCAAGAGCAACAGCAGAGGTGGCCGGGAAGGATCATTTGTGGAAACTGTTGAGAGGAGAAGAGCCGGAGAGGAGGACGAGACAAAGAACGAGTATAAGAAAAAAAAGGGCATTTCTGATGTAGAGGAAAATGATGATCTTGAACCCCAATCATCCAAGGCGACGAAGCCACGACAGCCATCTCAATCTTCCTGTTCTTCGTCTTCTTCTTTTCAGTATTTTCGTTCTTTTTCTTGTCTTTGCTTAATGGGTTGGGACCGTTGGAGAGCTTTCTTCTTTGTTCTTTCTGCTTCCTTCTCGACGTTTGTTGGTGGCAGCATTATACAGGTACATAGACAAGGCTATATATATGGGGGATTTCAAGACGGAGAGGAGGAGAGGATGGAAATTTTTGTGATAATTTTGTTGCATTATTCTTTCGTGGGATTTCTTGATTTTGCGTGGACAGACGAGGAAGGAAGGAAAGTAACTAACTAGTTCTGATGCCTTTTTGCTGCGTCATAATTTCAACCACTATAGGAATTTTTTTTTTAAGTCTTTTTCATCTTTAAATACGGTAGTTTGAAGCAGAGAAACTCCATTCTGGAATCTGGAGTACAGAATTAAAAAATGAGGAAAAAAACTCGTGTTCATGTCATCTATATATTTTTTATTTTAATAGATAAAAGTTCGGATAGATTCGACTTCAATCATCACTACGGATCAAAACATACTCTCAAAGAGTTCTTATAAATCGCCATCATAGAGTCATCTATACATTTTTTATTTTAATAGATAAAAGTTTAGTAATTACTACGGATAAAGACATACTCTCACATAGTTCTCACAAATCGCTACCAATATAGTTTTCATGTTATCAGCGGGATTTAAAAATGATCTTTTATGAGAAAGTGGTTCATTCTTACTAACGAAGCCAACCAGTGTTTGCGTCGTATATGTATTAGTCCATGCGACAGTATCTTATACTTCCGAACTAGTAGGTTATTAGAGTAATCTAATTATAAGATGATCTTTTTAGTTAAAAAGAAAAAAAAAAACACACACACAAACACACACTCGAGCCTTTAGAACAGTGGCTTGTCAATTAGTCGTGCAGCAGGCAGTGATGATGGATTTTGCACACAAGGTTTGGTTTCTACCGATAAGTGATAACTCATCTATCTATTCAAGGTGCAAAAATCAAGAACAAGAGACAAAAAGCTGAAGTTAAAGAGTTCAGTTACAAAATGAACGTCCCCTGAATTAACTGAAAGTCCCTGGATGAAGCAAAAGCAGAAATTGGGAGTTAGGATTTAGGAGGTAGCTCCTCTTGTGTAACCAAATGTTAAGAGATCCAAGCAAAAAGGCACTTGGTAGAATATACAGAAACCAACTCAGAACTCCTGGTTTCGGATCCACAGGTTAGGAGAAAATCACATTCACTTTGCTAGACAGGGCTTGCCCCATTAGTTGTTTGTATATCTCCTGGCGCTCCTCAGGGTAAATCTCATAATCTGGATGTTCTGTCCATGTGAAATCTGCAGAATAAGTACTGTATGATGAGCGGATGCACAGCCGCTCCAGCTCTGAAGCACTTCGTAGCAAAAAAGAAGCAAATGCAATCTCATTCATCGTTCCGCGAAATCCATCAAATTCCATTTCTTTTAGGTGAGCATGATGCCTAGGAGGCCATGCCCCTCCTCTTTTTGCATTACGACCCGGGCATCTGGCCTGCAACCATAAGCAAGAACTCTAATCACATTTTGTTACAGATATTTCAATGCAGTAACTAAAGCAATTATGACATTTAACAGGCAATACTTTGCAAGAAACCTATCCAGTTTTGTGCCCTTTCAAATGTAACATGGGCAGTGAAATGCTAGCTATGGACAAGTTTATGAACTGCGTCCAACAGAAACAGGGCACAAAGGCTATGTTGTTCGCTCAGGTTGCCCCTTCAACCGTTTAGTATTACAAAGTCTAGAATGTAGAAAACAAACAGGGTTACAGCTCCTTTCCATATCCAGATAAACAAGGTTATAGCAATTTAAGTCATGACCACTTTGATACGCTGTGATATCTCAAACCCAAAACTAAGAGTTGAACATGCTAAGGCTCTTAAAGTTTAATTACATAATTTTGCCATGACACTCAAGTTCTGTATAACAGCTCCTTCAGAAAGGCCACAACCAGAAAAGCCAAAAACAAGAAATAGTACATTTACCACAGAAACAGTAACAACAGAAAAAGTGGATGGTGCATAAAGCCAAAAGAACTATATCATTCACTAGAAAGTAGAAATACCAATGCCATTGAATCTTAAAGTGACTAGTTGCGAGATTTTGCACGGAAGATCATTGAAGTACAAGAATTGATTTATGCCATCTTCCTTTGCGCCAATTATGAACTATATTTAATTCGTTCGCACATAGGTACTTTGGCAACTAAGAGAATTGGTACTTTGACAGGTATGTTGGTGCAATGTTAAGGTCCACTGGCACCCTCAATTCGATTAAACATGCAAGGAGTCAGAGGAAACTAACTATTGGCAATGTTCACAAAAGGTTATTGAGACTGTTGAACACCTATTCTTCCAATGCAGGATAGCTAAAGAAACATGGCATCTAGCTCCATTACATTGGGATGGAATTGAAGATCAGAGAGGAGACTTTAAGAAGTGGTGGAGCTCACTAACGGAAGCCAGGTGCAGAAGTGAGGGTATGGAACACATAGCCTTAACAGCTAATATCCTGTGACAGATTTGGAAAGCAAGAAATGACAGAATGTTCAACAATGTGCAGCAACATCCATTGAAGATAGTACAGAAAGCACAGAATGAATGGATGTAATCCAAAGAAGCTAAGGATCAAGAGAAAAGGATAAGCATGCTGGAAACACCAAGAGCAGGTGAACTACAGGTACAGAGGAAGGAGGGTCCCGACACCATTCATCTATCTATTGCAATACAGCAGAGGATGGGAGGCTGGGACATGGGAATTGGAATAGTAGCAGAGGATGATAACAAACAAATTCTTGCTCAGTGGGCACTCAAAGAAGCTACTGATGGTAACAAACTCAGGAACCAAGCAGTGGCTGTTAAATTAGCTTTATGTAAGGCAAGAGGCAAGGAATGGAAGAAGATTCCGATCAAAATTAAGCAGAAACAGTTGCTGAAAATAATCGAAACCAGTAACTCCAAAGACATGGCAATGCACTCTCACTTGGAGGACATCAGAAATTTGTGCTCAATGTTTACAGAATGCTGATTCATTTTGTCCACTAACTTAACGGAGGAAAGGGTTGATATAGTTAGTATGCATGCATTAAGCATTTCTTTTGATGAAGAGCGGCTACACTCTTAGTGCCAAGATGCACTTGTAAAGTCTATTTGGGCCTTTGCTCAACAATTGTATAGTTTACAACATATCAATGAAATTATCTAACGTTTCTGAAAAAAAAAGGCTATTAACCAAGAATAAATAGATAAATAAATACCCCCAATCTGCCAAAGAAGAAAAAGATGCAAAAAGCTCACCAAGAGACGAAATTGCTCTAGCAACGGACAGGCATCCAAAATAGGGGTGAGATTAAGTAGATCAACTTTAGAGTTGGTCATCCAGTTATTAGAGTCGAACATTATCAACAAGTATAGTATCCTGAGGTTGCTGAACATATCCATCTTGAGAGGTATGCACTGTAGCTGAATCAACAGAAACAAAAAGCATAATTATCAGAACCAGAAAACGGAAATATGTGGCAGCAAAACAATGGACATGGTGACCTTACAAACCTCATCCGTTTTAGTCTGGAAAAGTAACTGTTTTAGCTGAGTACAATCTTTTGCAACTTCACTGAACAAATGAGGCACTGTACCACTACCGTTGCAGCTGAGACTCAAGTTTTCCAGTTCGGGAACGAAACGAAGTGAATGTTTTATCACTTCATCAGTATAACAATAGAAAAAGGTGAGATTTCCAGCACTGATATCTATTTCTTTCACGCCATGGCATGATTCAATGAACAAAAACTTCAACCGGAGATGTACACCAATAATATCCATCCTAAAAGGAAGTTTACAATGCGAAACTCTCAACCCCTGGAGGTTCGGACAAGAAGAAAAAATGCTTGGCAATTGTCCATCATCCAAGGGGACCATACACAGAGTCAGAAACTGAAGGGATTTGAATTGGCCTTTAAAACTTGGTCGTAGGACGCAGGCGAATAAATGCAAGTTTTTCAATGAAGCTGCTTCAAAGAGAAGCTCAAAAGGGAAGGGAAAATGTTTGACCAAGCTACCGTTGCCATTTTTATCAACATGAATAGGGGAGCAGAACTTGATCAAAAGTTCTTCTACGCCTAATGCAGCAATAGACTGCATCCATCTACTGATAACATTGGCAAATTCTTTCCCCAAACAACATGTTAGAATGAAATAAGGTACATGTTGACCTGAATAAAGACGTAAAGATTGATCAACTGCTTTCAAGAACCTACCCTTATGTTTAAAGCTGTAGTTACCATGATCTTCAATCTCTCCAAACATCTTACAGCAATCAAAGTTTAGTTTAGACATAAGTTTGCAAATATCTTTCCATCTTTTCGACAAAATTCTTGTCCTAACAGCTTCTATCAAGTCTAAACGCAAGAGTATATCTGACAGAAGATGATCAGGCAGTTGACTGATTCTATCCTCGTAACTGAAACCAGAAGCAACCTAATTAAAAAACAAGCAGAATACAAAGGATATGTCAAAAAGAAAAGAAAGTCAACATTATATTACTTCCACTAGATGAAAGAGTAAACACTGTAAAGAGAATACACTTCCATAGTAACTTAGCATGACTTACGGTAGCATTACAGGAAAAATCATCAGGCAGTTGATTGATTCTATCCTTGTTTTATAAACCATGAGTAACCTAAACAGAAACCAAGCAAAATAAAAAGCAAATTAACTCACTAATAGCCTTACTTCCACTAGATGAAAGAGTTAACATGGTAAATAGAACGCACTTCCATAACAACTTAACATGTCATACTATAGCATAATACAAGAAATCATGTGCCCCAGAAAACAAAGACAAGAAAACATGATAAAAGTTTGATTAGCCATTTTGGGCGCAATATTCACAAGTTAGGATTGTTTTGCGCCCCGTACAAGAAGGCATAGGTTTGCTCATTATGAAGACTACATATTAGCCTTTACTCACAAAGATTGATTTCTAAAAACTACTTGGTGGGAACCACACACCATATGAAAAAAGTTGACACATTCACGAGCTTCTTCATTTTATTTTATTTTATTTTTTTGGGTGGTCAATCTTGGTTGGGCCTGTACACTGTATAAAACAATTTGTACATCACTATCACCAGCGGTATCATTGTTACCTACTGAGTATCACATTGAGAGTGAAAACAACCAAAAGGGGTAGAAACGGTTGCTCCTAGGGGTTATGGGTCAAAATGGCCAAACTTTGAATTTTAAAAAGTCTATAGTTCAAATAAAATTATGTACATAGTTTTTAATGTCATGTATGACTGCACAAAACAATACCACAATTTGAACAAGCAACGCCACAATTTGTTAAATAATGTTTAAACTGTTTCTAACTGTTACATTGGCAATGGCTCTCACCCCCTTTGCCAACCATAGCCAGCAGCATCACTCATGCATAATAGAAAATGTCTAATGTTGGTTATGGACATTCCAATTATATATAAAAAATATATTTCCAGAGTATCTAAAATACCTTGAGAGGAAAATCTTTTCTATGCTTGTCCAAAAAAGCAATTGTTTTTCCCCGTAGAACTTGAGAACACTTGATTGCCACTCCTATGGCAACTCCACACCCTGCCAGGGCCAGTATAGGCAGAGCAACGCGCCCTGACCACCACCACAAATTATAAATATTACTCCTACAACAAAAAAAAAGGAGGAAAGAATAGAAAAACCGCAAAAGGAGGAGGGAATTACCGTCCAAATTCTTGAGAATCGCCGGCATATGTAAATTTGTCGCGTAGTTTAAGGAAAAACGGTGCTGAATAAAGGAAGAAAAGAAGATGGTGACCGGGTGGCGATGGAGACTTGAGAGAAGAAAATTGCCGCCCAAGCAATCGAGTTTATATACTTATGGATCCAAGAAAATTGCCATCTTTTATTATTATTATTTTTGGTAATTTTTTGTTGAGTTAAGGTTGTGTTTGGATTGCATTTTTCATGATTTTTCATGAAAAAATTATTGTAGCGATTTGATGTATGTAAGGAAAAAAGGTAATAGGAAAATGTGATCACGGAAAACGACGTAATTTTCTGACGAAAAACGGCAATCCAAAAGCCCAGCTAAAATTTTTGATGCGCGAGCTAATAATTCACAACTAGTGTATTTCCTTTTGTCTCAAGGAGGGCTTGACGCCCATTATATAGCTGGTTACAATTTCAAATTTTCCTGCATTATGGATTTTTTAAAAAAATTTTTCCTTTTTGGGTGGTCTAAATATAATTCTTTATCCTTTTTTCCCTTTCTTTTTCCCACATTGTTATCAGTAAAGGCATTTAGTATTCGCTACACACATTAGTTCAAAGCACGTACATTTGTTATATGTTTGACATACGGGTTAGGGTTGCAAGTGAATCGAGCCACTCGCTATCCGAGTTCGACTCGAGTTCGGTCAACATCAAATTTGAGTAAAAGTCGAGCTGACCAAATTAAATTCGAGTTCGAACTCCAAATAAAAAATACTAAACTCGTTAACTCGCAAGTCGACTCAAACTCGATTATATATATATATATATATACACACACACACACATATATTATTTTTTATTTTAATAATAAAATTACATATATATTCTTAATATTTTATTATTTATTACGAAAAATTATTATTTTATTTATTTTTTAAAAATAATTTTTTATTTTTATTTTTTAAAACTCGAGTTCAAACTTCATAAATCTAAATTAAGACTTAACTTATTGATTCAACTTGTTAGCACCTCTAATATGAATATTTGTCATACATTTGAAAAACATGTACATTTATCATGCGTTCAAAATACGAATATTATCGTATATACGTTTGAATCTCACTATTGATGTTTAAAGAAAGAAGACTTCGACTGCTACTACCTATTTTAGAAAAAATTCCACTTTTGATGTTTAAAAAGAAAAGAATAAAAAAAAACTTTGACTCCTCGTCCCACTACCGGTATCTGAAAAAGAGAAGTTTTGACGTTCATTGATTTGTATGCTGTTGAGAGAAAAGAATATGACATGACAATAATCCGATCAGATCAATTTACAGCCATAAATTTTCCTCAAAAACTATATGTATCATGCGATCAACTCAAAGGAAACGCAGGTTGTTGGATTCTCTAGAAGTTACAATGTAGAGGAGCCACAGAAACTGATTGCACAATTCCAAGAATCAAATGGAATCATGCGTTACACAAAATTGAGACTCCTTCGCAACAAGAACTCAGCTGAAACATGAATCATTTCCTATAAAATTCAGAAGGCCATGATCATTATATGCAGTAAGAAACACCTACTTATACATGGTTCAAGCAAGTACTTGTCCATTTGAGAAAGTCCCCAGGCTATCATTATTATCATGTTGTACCCTCCCACTTATCTCCAAGCACAAACCATTATTCAGGCATTTGTTCAAATTCTCTTTAACGGATTTCCTAGGCCCTGGATCCACAAAAACAGGTTGAATTTTAAGAGTAGGGTTTGGTTTGATGCGGGCCGATTCTCTCTCCTCTGATGGCCGTAGAAGAAGTCTGTTTTGCAACTCTTCAGAGGCTTCATCTTCGTTCATCAGCACCTGGAGAAAGTATAGCAGGAACAAAAAGCATAGCCACAAAGCGAACAAAACCAGCAACTTATATAGAGATCCGAAAGTAAGTAGAAGTAATTTGACAATAGCACAACGAAGATGCCCATAAGATGGTACTGTCACATTGTAAGTTGGATCAAGGGAAGATTTTCATGGCATCCAATGATGCTTGTGAAATAAGTCACATTATAATCTAAAGTGCAATAATGTTTCAATGATTTCCCTTGCTGGAAGGAACTGTAGAACTGAAAGAAGATGTAAAAGTTGACAGTACTAACCTTCCGACCAACCAGATCAAACGTCATAATGACTTTATTACGCTGGGCACGTTCAGCCTCCTCTATCTCTTCTCTTTTCTTCCTCAACAGTTCTTTCTCCTGTATGGGGAAATAGGGAAAAAAGAAAAAATTAGAGAAAGCTCAGCAACAAATAGACAGATACAAGCTAAACTATACTTACCTCCTGTGACAGCCAGCTATTCCCCTCAATCTCATAATAGTCACTTTGGTCATCTATAACTGTTGTACGTGCAGCAGCGTTTCGGTCATACTCAACAAGCCTCTTTGCATAAGCTTCAGCAGCTGCCTCAGCCTCTGAGAGGGGAACTGCACCTTCATGCAGACCAGCATAGGAGCTTCCTTCCCTCAGCACAAGGGCACCACAAAAGTTGCATGGTCCCTCACCTTCTTGTTCACAAACTATTTTCCCACAAGATAAACAATTGCTGATGAGCCTGTGCTGACGAGCTTGGCAAGAACATGGCTTCCCTTTCTGATACACAATTGATCCTTTTGAAGCCTCAGCCAGGGATACAACCTTTCCAGACTTTTTCTTCTTAGAATTGCCTGTGGTTCCTTTATTCACATTCTGTGACTCTGATGTCCCAGTTGAGGTTCGATTTTTCCGATTAGATGAGGCTGCAACATCTTTCGATGCTTTCTGTGGTTTTTTAGCTCCAATGACCAAGCCATCATTAGTGCGTGGTTTGACATATGCTTGTAAGTTGGAAGTTGAAGTATTTTGAGTAGGCTTATTCACATTCTGTGGCTCAGAATAACCTCTCCGCTGTAAATACTCTCCAATCACATTTTTGCCAGCTTCCTGGCCTATGATATTCTGCACAAGAGAAGAATAACAAACAGTCAGCAGTGACAACAGCAGTGGCACACTTGATTTTGGATTTGCAAGCACGAACATCTCAGACAATTTACACGTGCACAAATTCTCTCAGGGTAGATTGGCACATTGACAACTTAAGTGGGAAGCTAATTAGGACCAACAACGAACCTGAAAGAAATCCAAGAAACACTAACCTAGAATGGCCAGTAGTGGAGGCTTAATTGAATTAAACAGTTAATCGCACGTCTATTTCTTAATAGGTACAGTATCTGTGTGATCACTACTTCAAAAAGGCGTAATAAAATATCATGCTTCAGCAAGCTGTGGGTGCAAATTTCTAAAGTCTTTAAGTTGCATCCAGAAGGCTTTTATTCAAAGTCCAAGTTTCATACAGTGAAACTATATCCTAGTTTACCATAGCATAACTTGACCCCAGAGAATAAAATTATCCAAAAGTCAGATCATAAAATGCACCCGTATTGGGGTTAAGGCCTGAAAGACTAATCAGTGACATCAAAAACTGGTGTTTTGCCTTTTCTTTTCCCAATGTGTGCTACTGAATTCAAGACTAGCATAAACATGTTATCATAAAACGGAATCAGAATGCATGGCATGATTGAACAACCTAACTCTTTTAACCATGCTAACTCAGTAGCACAAAGAACATCCTATGTAGTTAGCGAAGAGAAGTTTTCACCCTAATAGCCAAAATTGTGGTCCTATACCAAACTCCCAAACTGCCAATATCTAACAACAAAAGATTAAAGCTTTGAAGCACCACCAATAACGTATAATTGCATATAAAATCTCCAGGAAAACAACACCCCAAAAAAAATATGAAGCCAACTTCAAAAATCTAAACCAAAAACACAAAAGCAAGAAGACCTCCCCCCTCCCTCCTCCAAAGATGTGACCTTTTTGCATATATAACCAACTAATTTGCAAAGAAAAAAGAAATCCCAGATGATAAAATTCGCATATGAAACTAAATTCGTAGAATTCGTAGAGAGGAGAAGAAAAGAAGCAAAGTACATACATCAAGATACTCTTTAGCATCAAGAGGGGGGGCCATCTCACAATAGGAAACAAGCCCAGATATGATTTCAGCATCCAAATCAAGACCCGTTTCAATCTTCTTGCATAGCTCCAGCAATGCCTTCTCTAGCCACTGCCCTGCCGTTTCCATTCTGATGCTAATACGATACTACTCTATACTACGGCGTATGCTTGCTTTGTTCAATACTCTGCCTCTTTCAGTCTTCCTGCAGTGGAAGGGTAGCACTGTAGCAGTAATTGAAATTGACTCCTTCACAAATTAAAAGGGAAAAAAGAAAAGAAAAGAAACAGGAAAAAGGAAGGTCGTAATCCGGTAATCCGCACGCAAGAAGGATTTCGGATTGCCCGCGCTGGGTGGTCTGCTGGTGGAAGGGCGTCCCTTGGTTGAGCTCCACCTGGGTTCGATCCCGCGCAGCCACCCAGCTGTTAATTTCTTCAGCATCGGTCGGGCCCGCTCTGCTGGGGCGCTGTGGGACTAGTCGGGTGTAGACCCGGATACCCCAGTGATGACAAAAAAAAAAAAAAAAAAAAAAAGGAGGATTTCGGATTAGCCAACAATTCGTGTGTTAAAATAAATAAAAAAAAAGGAGTGGAACATGAAGGTGTAATAATGCTACAAAAGAAAAAAAAAAAGGAAAATGCTTTTCCACAATTTTTGTGTGTGTTATGTTGAGAATAATTGGAAAGGAAAGAGAATTAGTTTGTCAATATAATTATTAAATATTTTTGTATTTTTTTGAGGCTATTTGAGCTCCTTACTTTACTTTAGGAATCATTCTGGTTTTTGAATAATTTTT